TGAAGGTAAAATATGTATTACACATCGCCAAACTGACTCATCTAATGATCTAATCGTTGCCTAACTTTTTACCTGTCATAATTGCAGGGTGTTGAAGCTAGAATTAATTCTAATGCCTTCTTTGCCTCGTCTATCAAAGGTTAGTGCACTCAGACATTACATCTCCTCTTTCCATCACCAGATCATCAACTAATTATATAAAGTCGTAAGAGTTTCATTTATAAAACTTCCAAGTTTCGGATATTTGCTTTAACTCAGTACATATAAATCGTGATGTTTTATGTAACACACTACCTCTTTTACTTAAAATAAACCTAAATGAGGTATATTCCTTATGAATTTTCGGCAGACCATACGCGTTTGGAGGTCTAGCATCTCGCTGAGAAATGTGTTCATTTTCCAATTTTCCACTTCTATGCTGTTTACACATTGTTGCCCAAAACCCTTAGCTCTGTACTTAGAGCCTTCTGTCGAGCCCCAGGAGACCGGTAGAGTTAAGCGTAAATTATGTCAAAGCAATCATCTAATACAATTAGTTTACAATTAAATGTCAATTGCTATTAAAAAGATGGGGGGATGAGAAGGGGAAGTGGATGATCAGTTGGGCTCATTTATATCATGAGGGCTAAAAAAGGACCAGAAAGGAGAAAAAAAAGGGTCGGACAAATCGAACTGTATCAAACCAGAGACTACAATCAAATAGGCATCAATTATCTAAGTGACTTTTAGCCAACTCTACTTAGCAACTCACTGACCCTTCTCCGTCCCAGTGGCTGCCAGGTCTTTCTGGATGACGGCCTCAGCCACCTGACAGAATTGTTGCTTCTGCCTTTGTTGTAGCCGCCGTTGTCGCCTGACCGTTTGAAAGGCTTGGTACCGATTGACCTCCTGCTCCAGCGTCATTCGACTCTCGTCGACCAGCTCAAAGACGAGTCTGGAATCCGTCTGTCCTCCCGTCGCCTCCTCCTCCTCCTCCGCCTCAGCCTCTGCGTCGTCAGCCTCGAGTCCGGCCGACTTGGCCGACGACCGGTGTCCAGGGCTGGACGACTCCTGCCTGAAGGCGGCGCGAGAAGTGCTCCGGGCGGAGGCGTGGCTGGCCGCCTCGACCTGCGGCGGCTGAGCGAGCAGAGAGGGCAAGACGTCACTTTCGCGGTAGACGATACGCACGAGATGGGGCAAAAGTCGCCGTGCCAAGTGGGGCTGTCGCCGAATGAAGAGCATCACCTCGGCGGGAGAAGAGTCACTGGAGAGCGGCTCAACCGTCGAGCAGGACGATTTCACCTCGGCCGGGAAGCAGCCGACGGAGGCATGCGGTCTGCCCGACGGACGAAGATGAGCGTCTGCCGGCTGGTCGGTAGAGCTGATGTGTCGATGAATGAGCAGCCGCAGCAGGGCGAGCGCGATGCCCGAGGGCTGTGTGAGCTCGAAGTCGACTGAGTCCAGGTCGCCCGAGAGACCCGAACCTCGAGGTCGGCAAGTCCAGGGCTCCGTAAAGCAGCGCAGCTGAGACAAGAGTCTGGGCTGGAATCCTGTGCGAGAAAGGAGTGAGCGGGTCGGTGAAAGGAAAGCTGAAGACAAACCAGACACAATAAGTGCCTTAATAAAACGTGAAGACCTTAAACATTTTGCAGACTTCTATTTTTTGAAGGGGAGGCAGAAGAGCAAAGTTTTATAATTGTTGAGCTTAATTCCATTTCGAGTAAAAGCGTTTGGTGAAGAATTCCGAAGGTCGATCCAATAAAAAGGTGACGGCATATTCCTCTTGACCAACTTACTATAACATTCTTTTGGATGTTGTTTCCGAGACAATCTTCTTCAATTCCGGTAAAAACTTGCTAAGCATTCGCCGTCGTATGACGGACACCATCAGAGCAGTGTATCATTTTTTACAACCATATTCAAACTAATAAATCAAGAAAACGCAACAGCTCTTTAAAGAGGTATAATGTTATTTGGTTAATTCGAGTGAATGTCAACCTCGAGGCATGTGAGTGTGTCCGTGTATGTGCCCAAACGTATCAGCATATGCAAGAACCCAACAGTGGTAGCACAAAAGAAATTAGAAAAGTAAAAGTAACGCCTGTCCTCGGCCATCAAGGTTTGATGGCAACATCACTCCTATTGCGCGAGGTCGGGCACTTGTTTGGTTATGTTGAAGAGTATTTCGTCTTCATATAATGTGACATCCACACTCGGCAGCTGGTATGATAGTTTCTATCATAAGACGGACGAAACTTAGCACGTTTGCTTCGGAATCGCAAGAGATTTCCTCAGAACCAGCTTCAATACTAATGTTCCAGTAAAGCGAATCAACAGCTGGTCGAGAGAAATCCGCCGTCGTCTTCTGGTGGGATCGAGCTTCATATCTCTTCACATAACACTTTCACTGGAAATGAAAGTAAGCTCAATAATTATGAAACAAGAGATCCATCGTAATCCAACTTTTCTTCGCATATACAGAGTTTTATACACCAAATAAAATTACAGTTTTTTGGAAAGGGAAAATTACCTTTATGATTTTTGGGTGAGATGTGAGGAGAGGTCATAATTATTTGTGTATGTGCTATCTCGATGTTTACTTGAAAATAAGGTTAGGCTCAAACTATTCGTTGTATAGAAGTTGTTTGACCTTGTTTTCGCAACTCGGCCATATTGGTAGGAAGACTTAGAGGAACGTACCTAGTCCGGAGTCCATTGTTTGCATCATCATTTCCAGAGTAGGACGGTGGACGTGGGAAAGTACCACACCCACGGTCCAACTCTGGAAATGATCATACATAGTATGGACTTCGGACAAGGTGCGTTCCTCTGGGTCTTCCAGGCAATATGAACACTTTGTGAAAACAAAGTTAAACAACTTGTAAACCTTAAAATATTATAGTGTTAGTTATTTGTGGTTTACGTAATTTTTCTAGAAATGATTTTTATTAGATTAGGAAAGTTAGCCATTTCGAACAGTGTTCATCTGAGGCTTTTTGAAATGACAAAATTAGTAAAATATTGCTTCAATCGAGCCCAGAATTCATCTTTGGAAGTACACCGAACTATACTCACCAAAGCATGACAAAGAAAGGTGGGTCAAGAGGACATTTTGTAATTTAGACAACCCTGATCAGACTTCGGGAGTTGTTTCCATTTCTTCACAAATTTCTTGGCTCAAAAAGCTTGAAGGTCGAGAGGCTGGGCAAAATGGATGCTGAAACACACAAGTGAGCATACATAGTATAGAATGTAAATGATCGGAGATAGCTGAACACATCGCCATTACTGGCCACACAATTAATTGGAATGCCACAAAAAGACTGGCCTCATATGGGGAAAACTCCAGGAAACGGAAGATCAGGGACGCTGTTGACATCCTTTTTGAAAGAAACCTGGTCAACAGGATATTCGAAGAGAAAGGAGTCAAAGATAACCTCGCGTATTGCTTGGTCAAATTTATAGATTTAGCGAAGTCATCAAAAAGAAGGCTCTTGGGCCCAGGACAACTGTTCAACAACAGGAAGAGACATCTCTAAGCAGTGGCTCATGAGGAGGAAAGCGAAATCAAGAAGAGGAGTCAGACATGGAATTGGCCAAATATTTACCCAGGGGGTTCACCAGTAACATGTGGGATATGAAATTAAAGGCTGAAGGTTTAGGTCGGCTAGATAGAGTACCAGTTCCAGTGTGTGCGCGTAGATGTTGTGTGTATTTTTCCTATCTGTGTCTGAAAGAGAATCGGCTTATGTCAGGCTTAACCACGGGGGGATATTATGTAATACACACACAGGGACATCATCCCAGTATCCTAGGCTTAGATGAGAATGTCCACTTGAGAGACAAGAGGAGTGTCGTCTTCGCAATTCAAATGAGAAAAAGGGAAGCGGTGCATTCTCACACCAGCGGTTGTGACATAAGCCGGACACATGGTCCCAAAGAATAAGACACAATGTGGGTAGAGATGAGAGAAAGGGTACTTGAGTCATGGGTGTTAAGCCTAGGCACTGGCATGTGCATATGCATGGGCATCATCTGCCCTAAATCCTCGAATATAGCATAATCGAAGACGGGAATTGAAAACTCTTGGGCAGCCAAATTTCAGACAGCCAAATAGTGATTTTGATGCGTAGAAGCGACCAATTGAAAAACGGGTAAGAAAAAAGGTGAGGCAGAATTTAGGTCAGGAGCAATGCAAGCAGGATCTGGTAACAGTAGTGGAGATGATTACGTTTCACTAAACCCACTTGTACCGACACAATCTGGGGCGACATTGGAGGAGTTGAGAGCACAGAAATGTGTGAATAAGTGGATGGACCATATGAAGTAGAATGTACCACGTCCACGGTCCTACTCTGGAAATGATGATGCATACAATGAACTACGGACTAGGTGCGTTCCTCTAAGTCTTCCTACCAATATGACCAAGTTGCGAAAACAAGGTCAAACAACTTCATAAAATGGACTGAGGACAAGGTGCGTTTCCTATAAGTCTTCCTACCAATATGACCAAGTTGCGAAAACAAGGTCAAACAACTCATATGAAGTAGAGTTGAGGGAAAGAGATGCGGCACAAGAAAGTAGAACAAAACGTAAGAGCGAGGAGTGATGCCCCAAAAATTGAACAGAATATCGGTCAAGGAGATTGCCTTTACTTTTCATTTGATATGTTGTAACTCGGTGCTTACGGTGGCGCCTCTCAATAAAGATGACGGCGAAACGTTTGGGAATGTACCCAGCCTATGGTCCAATGCTGGAAATCACGAATACTCCGGCAGAGGACACTGAGATAGGTGCATTCCACAAGGTCTCCCTGACACTTCGACCAAGTTGCGAAAACAAGGTCGAACCAACGCTGCTCTAATAATTGTATATGAATATCTAATCCGTAATCAAAACGAAGCATCTGACATGTATACAACAAGTTGTCAAATGAAAGTATGAGGAGTTTTCGCATATTCTAAGTAAAACTTGAGTGAAAGTCTACTTTAAGAGTAAAAGCTTAACATTTAATAGTAAGAATAATTGCTACTAGTGTTCTCCCTCGACCTCATTAAAAGTCCTCTATCATTTAGGTCAAAATAGCCAAATTCCATGTGAAAATAAAAAACAATAAAGTCAATTTAAGCTGTTAAGAACGCTATTGCTATTTTACAATTTACTTAGGAAATATAATTTCGACCAGGTTAATGATAAATAATATCCGATTTATATGAACAAATTAAAAAAACCATTTGACAGTAAACCTAT